AGTTCGAAGAAGACATCTTGAGACTCTTCTGCCATGTCCTGACAACCTCATGCTTCAACTTCAATGGCCAGTTCTATGAACAAACCGATGGTGTGGCGATGGGCTCGCCACTTTCTACGGTCATCTCTAACCTATATATGGAGGACTTCAAGGAGGGGGCACTTGACTTTGCCCCACACAAGCCCCGCTGCTGGTTTCACTACATGGACGACACCTTCGTCATCTGGCCACATGGGCCGGACAAGCTGAAGGACTTCCTCAACCACCTGAACAGTACCAACCACTGCATTCAGTTCCCAATGAAGACTGAAACTGAGGGCCACCTCCCCTTCCTGGATATAGATATTTACAGGAGACCCGACGGTTCTCTGGGCCATAGAGTGTACCGCAAATCCACCCATACAAACATCTACCTTAACACTGCGTCCCACCACCACCACCCTCCCAACAAGCAAACAGCACTTTCCACATTGGTGCACAGGGCTAGAGCTCTTTGTGATCAAGACAGCCTACATGTGGAGTTGGTGCTCCCGGGGGATGTATTCAGGAAGAACGGATACAACAACCAGCAGATACACAGTGTTCTCAACTGTCGGCCCAACATCAGCCTGCCTGAAGATAAACTGGGCTCAGTTGCCTTCCTTCCCTATGTCGGGACTATATTCAACCGCATCAGCAGAGTGCTGTCCCAGCACAACATCAAATAAGTGGGTCTGCCTCCAAACAAATTATCCAGTTTCCTCCGGCTGGTCAAAGATAGCCTGGGACTAAGGACACCGGGTGTATACAGTATCCCANCTGATTTCCCATGTGGACTTCCCCCCCCCCTTCTCTGCTCTCACATAGCTGTGTTTATTTCCAACACCAGTCTGCTTGTACTGGTTCTCACGGTCTCTTCTTATATTTCCTTCTACCCTGAAGATAGAGGCGATACATTCCTCTAAAACGTCGGTTAACTCCACATCCCAGAAGACTGCTTTCTTCAAGGTAAATACTGTTCTAATAAACTCACTACTTAGACTTGATCTTTTGCTTTCATCTTGTGTCAGTAATGAAGTAGCTAAATTTAATAGGCAACTAAAGAAAATAGTCAAACTACACACAAATATTGAGTTCTTAGAAGTGGAATTATAAAGGAAACATTTCACTAGTCATGGTCAACATTTAAATTATAGTGGTAAAGAGCTAGTCTCCTTAGAGTTGGCCAAGTCAATTGAACAGCTTTTAAATAAGATGAAAACTGCTCCTATACAAATTCAATGGAAAGATGACAATCTGGATGATCTTAACCTGTATATACATAGCAAAACTGTAAATCCTATCGGACTTTGTAACAATGAAGATTCTCTAAAATCAAGCAAGTGTGATGTTGGCAAAACCAAGAGTCATAACAAAAGTATCAATGAGACCTAGGAAAGTCCTGGTGTCTGCACACATCAGACAACGAAGAAGTTATATCTCACGTTGCAGACCAAGAGGTTCTGCTAGAATATCAGATGGTAGGACACAAGTAGGTAGGGCCTCAAGTAGGCAAAATAAAGCCACCATCAACAGAAGCAAGGATTTTTTATGGTAGAAGTAATTTCAAATAGACAAAATCACATTGTATTTGAAGAACTAAGTAATCAATAATAAGAATGATATAAATAAAAGATATTTCATCAAAACATTAAGGGAATAAAAGGGAAAATTAACNTGTTAGATAATAAAACTAGTACTCCAATTTTCACAAAACACAAAGTATTGTTGATAGGAGATAGCCACTTAAGAGGATATTCCGAAAATATGAAACTTTATCTGAATGACCAATTCCAAGTAAGTGGTTTTATTAAACCTGGTGCAGAAACTAAGACTATTTTGGAACAAACTACAAAGGAGATAGATAACTTATTATCTACTGACTTTATCATTCTTTCCTGTGGTTCTAATGATATTGGAAGAGTAAGATTAAATGGTACCCACAATTGACTGTTTTAATCCGGGGATAACTGCTTTCCGTTACGAGCATGGAAACAATGTAACAAGTAATGACTCTTTATGCAAGACAGTTTTTGATTGTGTGGAGAATGCTTGGAAGGGAAGAGTCGAATTACAAAAGGTGGATTATGAAAAACAAATAGGTCAAATCTATGACACTCAAGAGAACTCAACAACTCATAAATCAACCTGACTAAAAAAACTTCCATCCTCTAGAAACTGTGATTTTTTATGGTAAATGTAAATTACAACAATGTAAACCCGAATGATGTAAATACTGATGGGGTAGATAAAATTACTGACAACTTAAGTAAGTTAACGGAAACAATATGTAACAATAGTTACAGTAATAATGTGCCACATATTAAGAGTAGTAATACTAAATCTCAAAATAATCCATTTCATCATGTTAAAGGAATAGTACCTCTAACTGTTTATCATCAAAACATAAGAGGACTGATAGGGAAAGCAGATGAGCTCCTAAGCCAATTATACTTAAATTTTCCTCATTTACTATGTTTTACAGAACACCATATGAACCACTTAGAGCTAAAACAAACTTCAATTAATAATTACAGTTTAGGGGCTGATTATTGTAGATCATTATTTGCAAAAGGAGGTGTTTGCATATTTGTTCAAGAAAAGTTCAAGTTTACTAATATTGATCTTACTAAATATTGTCAGGATAGAGATATTGAAATCTGTGCCATCATGATTCATCTGAATGCAAGAAAAATATGCATAATTACTATATATAGATCACCATCAGGAAATTTTGATATTTTTATGAATAAATTAGATTTAATTCTTAATAAATTATTTAAGGTCACAGTGGATTTCGTTATCTGTGGTGACATTATCACATGTAGTGATAATGTGATAATAAAAACGTGTTGTGTAGTCGGTAAATTCACTCTACTATAGCCCCTTCAATACTTCAGCATGTCTTATACAGCACCTCTGAGGCACCACAAAGAACCAGCTGGCAGTATTAAGTACAATTAAACCACAGGACGATTATCTAAATTACTGCATAATTTAACACCCCATCTGGAAGAGTGCCATGAACTTTGAACTTTTTAACTAATGAAAATGATATAAACCTGTGATACCAGTATTTTTATAAATGTTATAAAGATTTTGTAATTCATTAATTAACTTAGCTATTTTACATTATGTTCCAACACATGATAAAAAGTGTGTACATTTTATTAAGATATTAGCAACATTTACACCAGTTGCACAATACTGATCCATATTTAGAAAACTAATTTTAATATTTAACATAACTTGATTTAGAGTTCATATACGAATGCCTGATGATCTACATATAGGTAAAAACATGTAGCATAAAATCTATGCATATATAAATAAACACATGTTTGTGTTTGTTTGAAAATGATCTCTTTCATTTATTGTGTCAATGGTCATATTCACAGAGTTAGTAGGTAACTTCTACAAACATCCAGAATCTAACATGGTTGTCAGTCAGTACTGAATGTTATTTCATTTTGTATGTCATATCCTTATATGGCATTATTGAGATATTCAGTCTGAATATTCTCTCCATTTTGTATTCCATGGTAGCCAAGCACACTGCATTCAACTATTCTCTCCTGTCCTGTGGACCCAAGGGCACTGAAGAAATTTAAGCAATTGTTTTGGTGATAAAAGAGATAATTGTTTGCTGTAGAAGTGTTAATAAGTAACATTCATATCCACTTCTTTTCACTCATTTGGCTGAAAAATTAACAGTCTTTTAGTGCATACAATTTCACTTGTCACTTCACACTACATGTTTCGGCATCATTCTGCCATCCTCAGGTGTATTAATCATGTTAAACCATTGCACTGCCTGCCATCAAGTGTCCATTTATAAAATGATATAAAATGTGTGTTCGTCATTATTCAATAATAAATTTATATATTAAAACTTGGTAACGCACGCAGCCACATAAGACACATCATAAGACACAGTATATATACAATTAAAACTGAAACGTACCAATGCCCATGACCGAAAAGTGGTTTGGGGTAGGAAAATATTTTAAACAATACACACACCAAATAAATATAATAATATAATTGGTTGAGTGAAATAAAAATACAAACTGTCCCAGATGAGGACGGCACAACGTAAAAGCGTCCACCAACTCCGCCGTTAATTTAGAAACCAAAAAGTTCAAGAAATAATTTTGGGACGAGACAAGCACCAGACTCTTCCACGGCGTGCAGCAGAATCCCCTTGCAGTGTTCAGACGAGCCTCCTAGTCCCTGGTGAAAGGATGAAGGGCGCAAGCGTAGGGCAGGTGGAGAGGGGGAAAATGAATGAAGGGGGGTCTAGTTGAGGGACATGGCGGTAGTTTCTGACGTTACAAAACATAAGAAGAACGACTCCCATAGCGGATGAATGGCATTACACACGAGTTTGATATACGACATGTAAGACGATAGATCTTAACAGGTTTTAATATATAAATTTTATTATCGAACAATGACACACACATTTTATATCATTTTATAAATGGACACTTGATGGCAGGCAGTGCAATGGTTTACTGTGAATGATACACCTGAGGATGGCAGAATGATGCCAAAACATGTAGTGTGAAGTGACAAGTGAAACTGTATGCACTAAAAGACAGTTAATATATACACATTATGGATATGAATCAGTGCAACAGGATGCTAAAATACAACATGGCTAAAAAAGATTAAACACATTCAATAGACTGACATAAAAAATATTTAACTCAAAAACTAAAGTACTCATAAGAAAATCTACCCTCGTTATGCAAGAATGTTACCACAAAAACCTTTGAACTTCCTCAGAATCTGACCAATAAAATGTTCTTGTCATGAAGAGATAAACAGTACTTGCATTTATACAAAAAAACAGTATGAATTCTGCTATTAATTGCCACCAAGCCTTTAGACAAATGTGTAAGCGCAGCATTAAGAATGGAACAATAAAGTAGCGAAATTCCAACAACTTCTGAGGCACAAGGCACAAACTAATGAAAGTGAAGTATCCTATCTGGAAAGTCATGTCAGTTTCTTTTATAAGCTGATTTACAGAAAATGCACTAAATATGTAAACAGGAATTAGCAAGTACTTCATAAGGAAGTGACTCTCATACAGTCTTTTCCAAACATAAAATGTGTAATGTCTGTTATCAGCTAACAAATATGGATGCACATATGTACTGAAATGAATAATGATAATGCATCCTATCATTAACACTAAAACAAGCTTCCAGTGCTTGATAACACTTACTAGAACTTGTTTCACACACCCAACTATGTATGGTGAAGAAAAGATGACAAGAAACAGAGAAAAGTAGAAGATCTGTGGTATGTTGAACACAGCCTGGTGAGCAGATCGGTCACCAACCACAAGGCCGCCATTCCATAACACAAAGCCCAGAAAACACAAACCAACCACTATGAAGCCTGCAGAACTGTACAAGATGTTATTAGCCAGCTGTGCTCTAGATGTGAACCCACGATTCCATGTTCGAAGGAGAGTATCCAACAAAACCTGTAAAAAAAAAGGGGGGAAGGCTATCCATCTACCAACTCATCATTACATAATCTAGTACTTCCCATCAGCAGGTCTCTGTGAAACAGAAATTCACGTTACCCATTTAGTGAGTATTCTTTTGAGGCATCCAAATAATTCACCAATTAAATTTAGTACTTTTAACCTTGATCAGCCTTGCGTTATGTCATTTTGCAGCACAAATATTTACTTAGACCCACCTTATTGAAGTTACATCACTAATTTCCATTCATTCATTTATTTTCATATTTTTATTTATTTAATTCTTTCCCCTGCTCTATACAGACCTCCATTATGCTTTCCTGATCTGAATTATTTATAAACACTTCTCAAGAGGGTCACTAATACCCTGAAAGGACATATATATGTCATGTCTTATCCATGTGATCAGGCTGTCAACATGTAATTCTCATTTCTTTATTTTATTCTGTCACCACAACAGGAAGTATAGACACACCATACATTCATTCGTTTCTTACAACATGTTTTGGCTCATTAAGCCATCATCAGGTATTTGACCTTTTTCACATTCACCTGTATTCATTTGCTAGTATTCCGACACTGGCCAGTGTTTACATGTTGGAATAATGTTTTTGTTTTTGTAATATAAAAAGGTGTGTTCACCTCTGAGATAAACTGTTAAAATGTTAAATCATCCCATTCACATGTTTATGGCCTTGGTCAGCTGAGACAGTGACATCAGTCAGAATGAAGACAAAAATAAGTAAATAAGGTTCTGGTGTTAGTTACAATGTCTCCTTATCATAATAGCTGAAATTCTAAGAATTAAAAAAGATACTGAATAGGATCTCATTTTTAGGATGATTCAAATGAAGCAATCTTATCTGAAGGCAAAATGAGCTTGATGAATTCTGGGTGTATCCATTCTCTCACTGGCCAAAAAAAAAAAAAAAAAAAAACCCACAGTGAATCAACCAACTACGCCACCACAAGTCTTGATATATAGAGGATATAAGAGGCATCCCATGTGAACACTCTATACTGACTACTGCCTTTCTATTCTTCTTAACTGAAGTGACCCCAAGCATTGATGGCAGACTAATGACAAATACTATGAGTACAAATGATATTCGAATATATTTAATAAAGATAGATTCTTATAATTCCCTGAAATGATGGTTCACGAGATGCATAATGTTACACTTTATAATAAATATGGGACATGATGCCAGAAACACTGTAAGATTATACATTCACACTTAAACATTTCCATATGCCATTATACAATAAGAGGATGAAATATTTTTAATGACAAAGAATTCAATGGAAGAAAAAATGTAACCACTGTTATAGATCTGTGAAAGATGACAACATGCGCTGGCCTTGATTCAAATTGCAATTCTTCCACATAAAAGCTGTACTGTGCTTCACCTCAAGGTAACAATTAAAAAAATAATTTAATAGTTCTAACACCATTAAAGAATAGTAATTTCACCACAGAAAATACATACTTGAAATACCTACCTGGAGATACTTTGCCGACCTCACAACCTTGGGTGACAATCTGCTATTACATTGGATAACGTGTAATTTCAACACGTGTGATATTGAAAGAAAAGCAATGAAAGCCACCCACACAATATTTGTCTGCCGCACAACAACTGCAATGAAGGCTGAAAAAATCATACATATTATTACTGTTGTTACGTTTATTTATTTATGATAGGCTTCACCCATCATAATGCACAAATAAAACTGCAGACAGTAAACTTAAACCCTTTCAATTCTAGAGTTTTTCCATATATGTGAACAGTAAAATGCTGTGTGACTAGTTCTAAACTTAGTTAAGTAACTTCAACATTTGAGGTCATGAAAGATAAAAAGTGATGGGAAAATTACTATTAGTACTGAGCAAAAAAAAAGGAAGAGAGGTAGGGCCATGGCCTACTTTTAAAACATGGATGTGGAATTTACATGAATAGTGTGATTAAAACCACAAAACAATTTCACTCAGAATAGACAGTAACCACCAGTGCTAAGCATTTTTCATCATTTTATATTAAAGGTTCACATGTCATGCAACAAAACAGTTCAATAATACACACAAAGGGTTAAGAGAATAAACTTAAGATTATACATTCTATGGTTTATTTCCTTCACATTTAATTATAGTTATTTCCACCACAAAATAAAAAAAAAACTCTACTTGATACATACTGCTTGTGTGACCCAATTAAGAAACGTTTATTTTCACACAACTCATTTTAGTCATGAAAATTGTCAGTCCAACACAATATTGTCTATACCTCTACTTTCAATGATTCCAGTGTGGTAGCCAATGAGATCCTGTAGTGGAAGCAATACTAATTACCATTCATCATACAATGCTCGAAGTACATATTCATATGTACCAGGGGTCACTTTCAGTAGCCTGGAATTCCTACCAAGTTTCACGAAATCCAGCCAACCAGGTGAAACATTTCCAGGGAAGACATGAACACACAGCATGACAGGAGTTAAAAAAAACTGTTTTCCCTTTCATCCAAATTTATAATACAATTAAATACAGTTCTAAAATTTTGAAGGATAATTTTTAACATTCTTCTGCCCTTTCAACACATTAACGAACAGCCTTCATGGCACAGGGTTTAACCCGAGTATTTTTGATAAGAAAAGCTACCACTGGATCCAATCCTGGACCTATTCACACCTTGTTATCAGTTTCTTTGAAATTAATTTTAATCATACCCTCCAATCCGTGTCAGGTCTTCAAACTGGTCTTTTAGCTTGATGGTTTAAGTAGCAATGTTTCCGTGGTTCTTGCTGAATAAACATAATGTAACTATTCCTATAAAAAGAAAACTGTAATAAATTTGAGACAGACAGTTTCATAAAGATTGGTCCAGCTGTTCAAAAGTTTATTTGGGGGTGGGGGGTGGCAAATACATACAGACACAAAGACAGCATGGTTACCTCATAAGCACACTTTCATTCTTTCAAAATTAGGAGAGTTGGCTAAAAGTTGGTGTCTGGTCTGTCATGAAGTGAAAGGGTTTCATCCAGATAAAACAGAGATATGTAATGCCGATCCTACAAGCATCCCAGTAACGTTCACTTTACAATGTCAGTCTAGCTTCATATCATTGCAGCTGGCCAAGTATGACACCAACCCATTCAGTGATCATGCACCGTGGAAAGGCATTGTCTTCGCTGAGTAACCAAAATGTCTGCTGTACTAAAATGAAACTGTGGTAAATTAATGACGGGATAATGATTATATTTTTTTTTCTTGTTCTCAAGTACAATTCTACATACATTTCTTCTTTTTATCATGTATTCTCTTCATCCAGACTGGCTCTGGGGCCCATTCAGTCTCATATCCAATGGGTACTGGGGGCTCATTCTCTGGGGGAGGGGGAAACAGCTTGGTCATGAAGCTGACCATTTACCTCCTTCTAGTGCCAAGGTCAAGCATGACTGAGCAATACCTCCACTCCCCACACATCTTCATGTCATGATGCTTAATTTATTACAGAGAAAACTTTCCCTTTCTCCCACACAACATGCTGATCTCATGTCATACCTGTTAGAGGCGCAAGTAGCGTGCGGCCGTCTAGCTGCAGTAGATATGTGAGGAGTATGAGACCTGTTGCAATAACATCGGTATAATACAGGAATGTGAAGAAATACAGAACTGGAAATATAGTTAGGTTCACAGCTGAGAGCAGATCTTGCAGTGACGAGTCCAAATCCTGCCCAAACAAAACAGATCATTCATATTGAAATCCTATATTCAGAAGTTAAAGTATTGCAGTCTACTGTAAATTATTCCAGCTTATTAAGCATTTGTTATGGAAATCTGTTGTATTTCTGGANGAAAAAAAAAAAAAAAAAAAAGAAAAAAAAATGATTCTGCTGCATATATAATATACTAACCCTTCTTTCAGGATACAGCCTCTTCTGTATGTTATGTATAATATAGAAGTTTGCAAAACATGCAAACACATTTGTCATACGTAAAGCATATGTTCCACACACGTCTATTCTCAACACGGTGGACAACGGCATCAGAACACCCACTGAGAGCAGATACAGACCAGGTAAAGTTGTGATTTTTGGATCCCACTGTATCATGTCACATAAAAAAAATCAATTAAATGTAGGAATTTACCAAAACTTATATTTAATTACACAGATTTACAAATCAATTAATTACGGACATTGATGCTGGAATATTCATTTTATAAAATCTACATCTTGCAGTTCACTTTTATCCAATACAGAAACGCCTTTGGTCCAGAGATAGGCACTAGCTCTTTTGCCTGGACCCAACTCTGCAGGCTTCTACCTAAGGATGGAGATAGAATTCAGTCACAGAAACGTTGTGTTTAAAAAAAAAAAAGGGTGATGGACAATGTCCAAAAACAATAATTGTGTGTTAAGTGTTAAACGGTGGATAAACAATTTTTTCATTATGGATGGACTGTGAATACACAGACTTCTTTCTGCATCATTACAGATCCAGTTTTGGGAGAAGAAGGCAGGAGAAGTTCAGGTGAAATTGAGTGCACTACAAGACGGCCACTGTATACATATCATAGTTCAGCTTTTATCTCTTCACCTCTTCAACTATGATCACGAATTTTTAATCCTGGTTAATTTATTTTGAATTCTGACCATAAAAGTGACCCACATCCTATGCTTTTATGCTATAAACCCTCAGCGATATTACAAAGTATTACTTTATATCCAACAGCCTTCTTATAAATTACAAAGCTAACCATTCCAGTACAAACCAATTTCTTCACTCTATAAGACAGATGATATATAAACTTAAAACACAACAAGAAGTTCTGGGAAAAAGGAATAATCTACTTTCCCTTTATGTGACATGGACCACATAGAAAATGACCTGCCCAACAATTCTTCTATTGTTGTACTTGTTGCCACAGGAACATGTTTACCAAGCCTAGCAACCATATAGGGAGGATACAGACACACAGACAGCAAGGTAGTATCATAAGACTACTTTCTAGCCTTACTTACTTACTTATTTACTCATGGAGCCGAGCCCTTCTTCAGGAGCCGCAAATTCTGCAGCTACTTAAGAATTTCCCAGCATTTTATGGAACCTGAAGGTTCATCACCATGTTCACAAGAGCCCTCCACTGGTCCCTATCCTGAGCCAGATCTATCCAATCCATACCATCCCATCCTATCTCTCTAAGATCCATTCTAATATTGTCCACCCACCTACGCCTTGGTCTTCCCTGTGGTCTCTTTCCTTCTGGCTTTCTCATCAATATCCTATACGCATACCTCGTCATTTTCATTAGCTTAGGTCGTTTATCCAAGGAATCAGTCCAGGTCCGAGGCTTTGTATTAATTTTCATAACATACTGATTTTTTACAGTGAGGAGTTGTTAGCACCACGCTCAACCCCCAAGCTGGAGGGCCACCCCTTGTCAGCTGTCCCCGACTGCTTATTCAATATATTCATAGCTTCCCTCCAAAACTGGGGGCCGTCTCCTCCATCCACAACCTGAGGACGCACCATGCCGTGGTGACAGGGACCCACCTAACTTTCTAGCCTACTTTCCTTATTATGTAAAAACAGAAGGTGATTTATGAGACCACTCTGCTGTCTGTCTGCTCATGTGTCTGTGTATCCCCAGCCTTAACTCCTGAGAGCCAAAAGAGTGAAGCCAGAACAGAATGCCATTACAATACCATATAAACACATATTATATATGTGACATGACACCTGAAAGCCAGAATAGTGTAATCACAGAAGCACTGTGGAGATGGGCATTGCTAGACAGTGGTTCAGTATTTAGGTCCTCCAACTCTTGGGCTCTCCTCTTTATATAACTTTGGGTCATACTGCAGAGAAAACATCACCTCCTTGGTCCTTCCAGGCAAAATCCAAGATTGTACCTTGATCAGAACACAACAAACTTCCTTCCAAATCTTTTACAATTTATCACTCATCTACCACCCTATCATTCAACATTACAAGGTCTAGCTACAGACAGCACTGTTAAATAACCCACAAAAAATTCAATGACACACAACTGTCTGCATCTCACTTCTTGCTTCAGATATCTGTACAGTTCCTATTACCAGTTAATTTTTTTGTCATAGAATCATACTCCATAGGTTTACTGCAGCAAAAAACTTCACCTGAAGTTTTGACACAACTGCCTGAGTAATTTCCTTGTGCACTGAAATTCTCAAGTGTGTGACACTTGGAAATTTGTGTTCTGCTGGGATCTTAGTTTAGTTGTATTTCAGTTCACAAAAAAAAAAATTCTTTGATGGGGGTGTGATTATTTCTTGACTTTGTGTCAATAATTCAAGATCTTATTCCTGAGGTAATTTTTTTCCACAATCCTGGACTGTCATGTGTTTAGTTGGGTGAACATGGTTCATTTCATAATATGCTGCCATCTGTTGAACATCCAGTACAACAGTGTGGAAGAGAATGAAAATTTTGCAAATGGTACAGGGCAGTCCATGTGCTAGTACTTAAAAATATTCCACCCATCTCCATCTTCTACATATATATACATACATACATATAAATTTGCGTTTCAAAATATTCATAAATGTGCCACCAGCACCGAATATAAAGCATGTCAACAAGGAAACAAAGCTTTGGTCATTATATACATTCACAAATAAAATCACTAGCATATATAATCCATACTTGTCAAAAACATTTCATTTTCAATTTCATTTCATTTCATTAATATTTAACATACAATAGTTAAAAGGCAATACAAATTGCAGCAAGTACCGTATTTACGCATGTATAGGCCGCACATTTTTTGCCAAAAATTCAAGAGGAAAACTGGGGTGTGGCTTATATTTGAAATATTCGAAATCACACTTCATTTAAGAAAAATTATATTCATAATTAGTAATACAGGGTGTAATGCTCCTGAAATAATATTCCAAGAAAATTATTTTTTCTATAATTTCTGTCTGAAAATTGTGCTGTGGCCTATACACGCACGCAGCCTATACATGCGTAAATACGGTATATATAACCACAGCCAGGGACATAGTATTTAGTGAAGTGTGCACTATCAGATAACTCTTTTCCTTAGCTGTAGGTCTTGACAGAAAAGCAAGAATTCCTCAACAGTATAAGAAGGGTTTTGAAGCAATAAATCCTTTACTTTCCCAATAAACTGTTTTTTATTATGTTCTAACTCAATTAAAAAGTCATGTAAACTATTAAAAACTTTTACACTCACACAATAGACCCCTTTTTGCCTCTTTGTTAGATGTGACTGAGGAACATGTATGTTTCTAACTTGTCTTGTTGATTTACCATGAATTGTGTGATTAAAAGTATAAAACCCCAAATTGTTTATCATTAGTATCATTAAAGATAAAATACATTGAGAGGCCAATGTCAGAATTTTTAATTTTTTAAAAACTGTTCTACATGATTCTCTGGGTTGCATTCCCATCATTATCCTGATGGCCTTCTTTTGTAAAAGAAAAATCTTCTTAGCCTCCCACAAGTTTCCCCAAAATGCTATCCCATATCTCACAACTGAATGAAGGTATGCGTGGTAAATCATCCTTAGTGTTTCAATATTGCTATACAATTTCATGTTTCTTATTGCAAAGCATGCCTTGCCCAATCTAGATAGCATACGATTCCTGCCAACACATCCACTTATGTCACATAAGGCCCTGATGATGGGGATATAAATGGTCCCTGAAATGTTGGTAATTTTTAACTGACTGACATGCCTAATAGCCGAAGATTTTTTCACATTTTTTTTTTCTGTTTCGATATTCCTCTGAGCACATAGCATGATAGGGCACTCATATATTTCAGTAGATACATAATGCAGTACCTCAATGAGCAGTTCCCTCTGCTATATTTCAACTTATGGTGTTACATGAAAACATGATACATAAACATACATAGGAGACAAGAACTACTTTTTGATGGTGTAGCACAGAAGAATAACTCCAAAAGTGTTTGGCACAATGTGACACTCTATGATCAAACAAGTCTGAATGGGCATCTAAACTGAAGGAGCCAAGTCTGAACACTTATTAAACTGAATTACAGCAGAGTATTTTTTTAACAATGCTGAATTATGCCTGTTCCGATTATCCTGAATTTCTGCTATCCATAGTTCCAAGGCCATGTCCATTCTTATTGGCTGTGAACGACTTTAGGAATAACACCATAAAATACTAACATATGATCGCCACCTGTACAGAATTGTAAGCTTACTTTCATATTTTTGGGCTGCAAGCGAATTCAGGAATAAGACCCTGAAATACTAACATAAAGCTGCTGCCTGTATACAATTTTGAGTTAGCTTCATTCTTTCTGTTTACTTTCAAGGTAGGTACGTTCAGTTATTGCAGATTGGTCAAGTATTGGAATTTTTTAGTCTCCCCAAGTACAGTTTCTGTATTGAGAATATTCCATGACTCCACGCGTCAAACAGCCTGTTTAATTACTGAAAACGTCAGGTGTTTCACTATCAAACAGTTCGTTGGTTATTTAAACAAGTAAGCTACTGAGAATGATCTTAATATCTTACTTCACACCAACTTGCTATCAACATATACTGCAGAATTAAAAATGGTAATACTTACTTCTCTGAACAGACCCCTACAATATTTCTCAGCCTGTGGAATGTGAAATATTTCATCAAGAAATGGCAACGGTTGCACTGCGTATATCATATTGAAAATGCATAACGTCGATAACGCAAGTAACATATATACTGCAGCCGGTGCGGCATGTGAAGCATTTAAAAAGGTGGGCAGATTTCCTTTCATGGCGGGAGACAACTCTATTATCATCTATTATCACGAACGACTTGTACCCATTAAATATTACGAATATCACAAAACTGAAATATTACAAAGATACTTTCATGCTCTTCGCATATGCCTCATATCCAATAACCTACTCCACGTGGTTAGCAACCCACACAAACAGCACACACATCATCTTTCTCCATCTTCGATTCTCTCCGTGGTTCCGCGATTTCGTTTCGGCGGTCTTAACTGGTCTTGCCCCCTTCCACGTGGACCCATCATGTGCATAGATCAAAATATCGCTCCAGTCGCTCCGAAGGTAGTAGTTGACAACGTAGCCGCCGTAACGTCACGGAATTCTTACTCGTATGCTGCCATCTGTTTACAGCTTCTGACGAACTACTACAAAATTGTTTGGCGTATGATGAAAGCATCCAACGACAACATCTCAGTCACTAAAAAGCTGAACTACTATCAAACTCATACATTTCATTACCTGCACTTTGACGACTGAAAGATGTGTATAAAAAAAGGTAAAGTTGTCCTTGTGCTTAATTAGTTAGCCACTATTTCATGAAGACATATGGGTGTGCGGATGTACATTCCCACCTTTCTTGACTTCGTCAATAGATGAAGTGGTCAGTTTCACGTTCCGACCACTTCACCCCCGGGGAAAGAGTTCCCGGTATCCACTGGATATGAGTCTGGGTAGGCCCCAGAATTGTTCTGGAGGCTGTGGAGAATACAAAAATCTTGCATTGCTAGAATCGAACTTGGGCCCTCATCCCGTAGCCCGTCGCTATGCTGACTGTGCTATTCCGACTCCCAAAAGACGTTTACAAACAAACAAACTCCGTGGTTTTAGTCCGCAAGCGAACTACACCGACCGAGCGACCGCGGCTTGTCGGCGAAGTTAGTGCCAAGTTAGCGGATAGCGGATGTCACGTGGTCAGTGCAACGAACCCCTACGTCCGACAATTTCAGTTTTCTAGACCGGAGCCACCATTTCCTTGAAATAGCTTCTCAATTATATCCACGAGGCTAAGTGAACCCCGTTCCAGGAACATTATTTCTCAGAAAATCTGATAGCGCCGTGAATCTAACTCGGACCTCAGGATCTGTAACCAGGAACTCTGACTACTAGACCACAGAGGCGGTCAAAAGATACGTGTATTTACCTGAAAACAAATTACAAAAGTGAATTACGACAAATCAGTAACTAATCGGAAGGAAAATGAACCGATTACGGATAGACATGTGGTGGGGCAGAAAGTAGACGCGCTTCATACTAAGTACATTTCTGCTATCAGAAAGGACATATACCTCGTTTTGATGACATTCTTGTTTTATTTGACGGCGCGTTTAGTAATGCAAATAAAGAGTGCATAATTATATTACGAATAGTTAATAATGAATCGGAAAAAATGTGCAAGGAAGCGGTCGTGACCTCATTTGGGACAAGTTACTGTCCCGATATTTGCCTGAAAGAACTGAGAAAAACGATATAAAGAACACAGTCATAATAGCCAGTCTTCAGGCCAAGATTTGAATCCAACACCTCCCGAATACGAAACAGGAGTGTTACCGAACTTTCACAATTTTTCTTTGTGTATTTAGAAGAGACAATATTTTGTTTTATAAATAACACTTTGTGTTTGCATCTTAATAAACACATTAACAAAGATGACAGACTAAATATTATATTCTAGCATCCTGTTGCATCTTTCACTTAGTTTTGATCAGTTTTTTTATAGTCTCCCATGCAACATTATGTTCCATAAAATTTATTAGAAGTTAATCACTTTAAAAGTTCGTCACTAAATATTTCGATCAATATGGTCATCATCAGGTGTTAAAGTTACTGGGCGAGGAAACTGCTGTTTTCCATTTCGTTCCTTATGTTATTAAGGCTCCTCTGTGCGCACGTGTGTATGAGTAGGTGGGTTCTATTCTCTCCTGTTGTGTGTTATGCTGCCTATTCCTTCAATAACTGACTCATTCATATAAATAGTTAATAAGAAGCATCAATGAAATTACCTGTATTATTTATTATAAATTTTCGTGCTAAGTGTGTAGTGCTCACGAATGTTGTATTACGGAATAATTATAATTTTACATAGACGAGTGTAACAGCACTACATCTGGGATTCCAAAACCTTCTTCACAACCGAGATGGGTATGCGGCTTCCATGTCCCAGTGTCAGGAGACGAAATGAAGTGCAGAGAGGAGATGAACAGCGTCCTTTCATAAAAATACAGATTTATCGCAGAAAGGAGAGTCAACAGTTTCAGAAAATTGTAATTTTTAATTAAAATCAGCAACTCTTATATTGGAAGTCTTGTAGTAAGTCGCCTTTTATGGTTTTTAAAATCTCCAAATTTAATTGTGAGAAAATTCAGCATGGTAACGTAAAAAATTAATATCGTGACATGACGCATGAAAGCTGCAACCTGCCCATTTGCTGCACGGGGCTTAGCTGAGCGCGTTCCCGTGTCAACAAGGAAGACGCCGCTGCTGGACGGCGAATTGTTGGACACATTTCCGTAGCAACGAAAACTACTGAAGGAGCCATGCATTGCATAAAAATCACGTTAATTCCTAGGCAACACATGTATGTGTGTAAGAGATGGGCCATAAAATTCGGCCCTCGCACTGTGACCTTCAATGATCTATTGTGCTTCTTCTCTAGGCCAGTGTTCCGCAACCGGTGTGCCGCGCCACACTGCTGTGCCGTCACAAGGTGAAAGGTGTGACGCGAACTTTTACCTATTGTAAGGAGTTAATTGTCGAATTTTATTCGTTTTATTTTATCCCAGTTACCGTGTTTCATGTGCTTGTATTTTATTCTCAGCCACTGCACTGATAAAATAAGATGATGCTTGTTTATTCTTTATTACATGCTGTGATTTTTTATGTACAGTAATGTTGTATTCTAAGAAATTAAACGTAAATTATTTACTCACAGTTGTTGTTATATCATAGTTTTCATTATTGATTTATTTTTACTTTTCTCGCATCTACGCAGCTTCTTTGATATGTTTGCCGTATGTTCTGTGTACGTACTTTTCCCTAAAACTGCAGGGATTTGCATGGGATTTCCTGTCTTTTATAACGCTGTTTTGGTGTTTGCCCCTGTTTGTTAGAAGTTAGAACTTCTTCAACTTTATGACTTTCCACCTGTAACGATGCACCCACCGATTGTTGGACTTCATTTAAAATTATAAATATATCATAACTTACTGATATGTTGGGATTTTGGACTTTATCCATCGTCCTGGTAACTTAGTCGGTATAGTGTCACTTGTTCCGTTTGAAGAGTAGAGATCCCGCGTTTTACAATTATTTCAGTTCTATCACAGCTGTGCTCTTAAGTAGTTTGCAAATTTTGGTTGCTAGTTAGAGAATTACAGATGGGTCATTTGAGATGTCCCCGACTGTATGGCCACTTGCTGACGGCAATAAAGTGGTGATGGCCAGAATTAAAGAACATTTAGAAATGCTGCAGCAGAAATTCAATAAGTATTTTGGAGAGAGTGTACAAGATTTAGACTGGGTTCGTGATCCATTTGTTGCGAATTCAGAACATCTTCCGCTTAATATGCAAGAGGAACTCGCAGATTTAAAAGCAGACAGAACATTGAAACTAATACTTCTCGAAGTGCCTTTGGATACGTTTTGGTTGGCAATAAGGAGTGGATACCCGGCTATCTCAGAGATGGTAGTTAATGTGTTATTGCCATTTTCAACTACATATTTGTGTGAACCGGGCTTCTCGACGTTAACTGAAATTAAGACATCAAAGAGAGAGCGGCTAAAATCCATCGATGAAGAAATGAGACTTGCTTTGTCAACGATTCCACCACGGATCAGTCGTCTGTGTGCAGCTACGCAGGCGCAAGTGTCACATTGAAGGTATGAGTAGAATTACTGTATTTACTTTAATAGAAACAGAAGTGTATTTTCTACACTCTACAGTGAATTGAAGTTCATTAATTATTAATAAATGCACGAGTCGTTTTCTGTTTAATTATAATAAAATAACAATATAATAATATTATAGTAATAAGTTGATCACGTTACGTATTTATAATAATTGTCTGATATACGTTTTTGAGGGGAATAACACTTTGGTGTGCAGTATTGAGCCATGGATACTTCATGGTGTGCCGCGAGTAGAAAAAGGTTGCGGAACACTGCTCTAGGCAACGCATAGAGAAACGTTTCCGTTCATACGGCAACGAACCTCCAGAGGACAGTAACAGTGAAGAGCACGATAACTCTACTGTTGAAAGAGGTTATCCCGAGACAGATCGACCAGAACCTACCTCCGTGAGAGAACTGACCAACAGAAGGCAGAGAACGACAGAACACAGAAGATTGATCAGAAATGATGTCTTTAGTATACGAGTATGTGGTGTTATCATTGTTCGTAGTAACGAAATGTTATGGATACAATAAGATTGTGTTACAACTAACTGGAATTTAGCCTGGTGAGTATCGAATAAATCGATTAATCTAATACGAAACTCATCAGTTCCTTGTCGCGTTACTAGGAAACGTGACAATATACAGGATTTTGGTCTCTTCACTTAACATTTATCTCATTACTGAATTTAGTTTCAAAAACTGTTTCAGAATCCCCAGACATTTTCCGGAAGAACGTACATATCTTCCTACATAGAAGCATAATTTTAACTCTACTGTATAGGCCTATATTGTTATATACTTCCAAACTTTCAACGTAATTCATATCACGTTACAAGTATTCCCAAGGTTTGTACGTTTTACTTAGGCTTTCGTGTCTCCGCCTAAACTGGACGATATGCCTGATTATTTACGTGTTCATTTTTACTTATACCATTGTGCCAGTTGTTATTTGCTTTTGCATTCTTCATTCCACACACTATCTGCTGTTATATTCCTACTTCACCATCCCAGTGTGTAGACCCTCCACATTGCCGAAGTATCTACTTTTCACAATAATTTCATCTTGATTCACTTCCAGTACTCTTTCGCAAGACTTCAACAAACTGTAAGCGTACTTATTTTATGGCTTCTACTTCCTCCTGTATTCGATCTCATCTCACTTAATCCAACACAACTGGAATCTAACCAATTACATGGCCAGTAAGTTTCTTCAGAGGCGGCCGTAACACGACGTGGCGTTGAGGCGGCTCTCATCTACCACGACACCATGACACATCGTGGCGATGAGCACTCAGCACAAGAAATGGTCCTCAGGAATTCCTTATGCGACAAGGACCTAGGCGAACCTCATTTCACATTGTCCTCAGGAGGCCTGCGTGTAACAAGCCCTCATGCTCTCGACAGATCGTTTGGCAGTCTGTTGCTTTCATATTTTTCGTTTAACAAACAGTCTGTAAAGCTATCCCTGTAACAGGCAGTGGAGACCCATAGGGTTGTGAGACGTCGAGGCTCCCACATTTTCTAGATCATCGGCTCACAAGTGGCGGTGAGGTTGTCAGCCTTACGCGCCAGACACCCTTTACCGGCAGGAAGAATCCTGGTACTCATTTCTGTTAGAGGTTGAATGATGGCAGGGCCATAGTGCGGCTGGAATCATTAGGTCAACTGAAAAAAAAAAATTCAGTGACCTCATCGGAAATCGAGCCCGCGACCTTCCGGCTTGTAGCATAGTGCTTCAGCCAACTATTCTACCACTTGTCCCCAATAAGTATTCTGTAAGAGTTTTATTTCTTTTTCTATGCGACGAATCGTCCAATAAGGCTTGGCTGAACTTAGAACTTAATTTTCGAGGTTATCTTCAGTACATCCAGAAAAATGCGGGCTAATAGAAACAAACCACAGATGAGACATGAACTAAACCGGCCCCCTTTTCTTCCACAACCCTTCCAACTCACTCTTGTATCCTGTCATTTGATGCTATGTGTTAGTAAGCAAAGCCTCGGTCACCATTGTGGGTATGTCGTCAGCACACTTTGTTCGTATTAGTGAGGTCTGTATTTCGATTATTGACTCCGAGATCAGCTATTCTGGCTGAATGGTTCCGTGGTTTCCCTCCTTTACTCCAGATAAATATTTCTTTCACATTCGTCATAATTAATCGTTCAAATTCGTTATATCATTCGGCTCCACAAGATCAGCCAAGTGGTATCTGCATTTAACTACCACGCCATGAAGATGCAAAGCAGAATGGCTATAAAGTTCCACGCTTTCCTCACTTCGACACTAGGCGGAGGTGAGTGGCGATCTTTTCTCGCCTGTCACTTTACCTTTTGAAGGAGGTTGGGTAGGCCCCAGAACCAGTTTGAAAATGGAAGAGTCACTTTCCCCATCGGATATCGAATCTCGGTTATCAAACCCGTGGCTTTTCATTTTATTGATTGAGATATCCCTGCTCATAAATTCGGAATTTTATAACATGTCGATAAATTCAGAACAAATGAATCGATAGAGTTTCTGGTTACCGACTTAAGTTTCAATTCAACTAGTAGTAAATTGTGCCAACAGATAGCACCATAGATCTGAAAGCTAAACATAGGCTACTCTCTGCGTCGAGGCGCTTATACTCGTGACGTCACAACGTCGAAGTGTATAGATCCGACCTACGCTGGGAAAGTCGGCTGGGCACTGGTGGGGGAAACGTTGCAGGGGTGAGAGCAGGGAATGGACGATGGTTCAGTTGTAGTGGAAGGAGTGAGATAGGCGGTCAGGTTATATAGACCATGATTCTGTGACTGGATTGCATTAGATGTGTGATGGCAGGGGCGCCTCCAACTCCGGGCACCACACTTAGAGGGTCAGGGGGAAGTGTACTCTCTAGCACTAATGGGGGAAGTTATCGCCACATCGAGGAGGACCCCGGGCCTAACCTTAGCACTAGAAGTGCAATAATATACAAAACATCTCCGAATGCAAAACCCGAGCAGTCCTCTTCTTCCAGGCTCTCGTCCGGTAGCCGGAAGTGCAAATCTGTATCATTCCACAGCGCGACCAGTCTCCCCACAGAGCGGAAAATTTCTAGCGGTAAGTTACAGCTCTCTTCTTCCTCTGCAAGGATCATTCTTTCTTGCAATTTTGCTGAAAGGCTAGTAGATTGAATACTTCTGTTGTGCACTTGGGATTAAACTCTATATTTTAGTCAATGATTTAATGGCGACTTATCAACTATTTCGTATATTTATTTCGACCATGAAAGTAAAGAGAATTGTTTAATGATGTTCTTCATGATTTGTACTCCTAACTCAACATTATTAGGGAGATGAACTCACATAGTATGAGATGAACGGGACGTGTAGCAAGCATAGGGATGTAAGAACGTACGTCCTCAAGTACGATTGAAGAATAATATTAAAATGGATTTTACAGAAATACGTTCTTAAGGGATTTAGCTCACATGGGACAGAGTTCAACTGTTGGTTTCTGTGAACTTAGTAATGGAACCAAGGAATCCTTTGACTAAAGTTAAGTGGTTATATACATCTGAAGGACGGTCGTGTGCAAGTAATCAGTTACAATAGGGCTTGCACAGCGTCACATGACTGTGACGATAAACTGTAATGGAACGATATTAGCATATTTTACGTTATTATGTCACATTTATGCAGAGGTACTAAATAAATCTGCTGAAAACCTGTAAATACATATTGCCACGAAGCCAAGATTCGAACCTGGGGTTCTCGAGTACGAAGCAGTGATAACCACCACACTACGTCATTCCATGAAGTCATTTTAACTTCTTTAATTCATTACATAAAAATCAGTGTCCAGATATTACTTGGATTATTGACGCTGTACCAGTTACACTCGTTATTTAGCATAAAATGAGACTAGAGAACGATTTTTCTTGGGGAAACAGGAAGGATGAAGAAAGAAGTAGCCATTAGCTCTTTTACGTTCACCAAGGAGAACTAAGAATAACCTGAAAATGTCATAGATGTGGTGGGAATTATAACAACCAATTATACAAGTCAGTGTTGAAGTAACCTGCTTGGTAGAGATATAATTACATCATTATTAAAATTGGTGTCGGAATATTATCTTCTTTTGTATTTTAAAATTGATAACCGCCCATTCCTCCCATTTATCGCTCCATCTTTTTTTTCGCCTTAAAACATTTAGAAGGATGAAGAAAGCAGTCTTCTGGGATTTGGCACCGTGTATATGTGGTGTTAACCGACGTTTCGGAGGAACGTATCACCTCCATCTTCAGGGTAGAAGAAAAAATATAAGACATCCGCAAGCGAAGAGACCGTGAGAACCGGTAAAAGCAGGTCTCTTTGCTTGCGGATTTCTTATATTTTTTCTTCTACCCTGAAGATGGAGGCGATACGTTCCTCCGAAACGTCGGTTAACACCATATATACACGGTGCCATATGCCAGAAGACTGCTTTCTTCATAGTCACCGCCGTGAAAGCCTCAAATCTTACATTTAGAGGGATGTTGACATTTTAAGTTTCACTCAGCAATACATGACTTACTTTCATCTGTTAACCATATAATTAATGTAGAAAAAGTATTTTCTGATATTCTCTTTATGAAAGCAATGTCTTTCTTTCTTGAAAATTAGCATTATCTATGCCGGCTTTAATTTAAAGAGACCTTCAGTTCCTGTATTTTTACGGCAAAATGAAACATGCTTCTATTTTTTATTTATTCATGACGTCTTGGAATATTTTATACAAAAGTCTAGAACTTAATGAGGCATGTGCTTTACATCAGACCATACTGTATCTTTGCGATATTTTGCGATGATAATACGTTAAAATTGATGACAGTCTGCCTGAGCGATCAACGAAGAGCTAGCTCAGATCAGGGTTCAACAGTTGGCTTTAATACACGTAATTATGGTCATTAATCATCGGGTTTCCTAACAACATGGGACTTTTTTTTAATGTAAATTCTTCTTGGTTGTAATGATGTACAGTCTATTAAGAAGCGTCCAGCTTATTGCCTACATTTTCAGGAGAGACGGTTTCAACGCTGCTATAAATATGGAAGCAATAAGTGTCGACGAAACGTCCAATGTTCTTTCCAATAAACCTATCTGTAGTACACAGCGATATATTACTTGTACATTTGGACCTCATTAAATCCTGAAATTTAATGAGGTATGCAGTTTCTTCTAGGCTATTACTTAAACACCATTAAGCCATTGGCCATTTTAGTGGATATGCAGTGTTTTCAGCGCTGTATGCACTTGACATTTCAGTATTTTTCAGACGAGTTCCAGCTTTCAAAATGTTAAATACACTTCACATAATACAGAATGCTAATCACAGTTATTATATTCTAACGTGATAAATTGACTGTAGACGGGGGTAAGACGGTAACTGAATCAATTTAACACTTACAAATCGTAGCTACAAGTAACTTGTAGTTCACATGCTCTGCAGTTCATCATAGCACATACTGAGACTTCTCAGACTGCTACGTCTTCAGAAGTCATTGCTTGGTGACGGGACCAACAATGTCCTCTGCTTCCGTGTTCACATTATCACCGGCTAGCGTATGTCTCAAAACTAACTCATTGCTCCAACTGTCCTGCTTATAATATCTCTGTAGAGACCGCACAGAAAACGCCGTTCCTCTGTTGCAGTTCAATTGTTGCTTAGCGGACCAAGCAGTAAACGTCAATCCTCTCTTCTCGTTTGCGAGCCGCTGTACCGTTGCCTATCTCTCTGTTGCCGCTAGCAACGTGTCTACATGCCACACTATATCAAATTAATCATTTTATATACTTGTAGAAAATCAGAGAAAAAGACTTTACAGTTTCAAAAAATAAGCGATATACAGCATATCCAACCTCATTGTTTCAAATATTCTACGCTAGACTCTTCTGTAGCAAAAATTGCAAATCTTACACCACAATGCTATTTCATTTTTTTTTTCCTTGGCACTACAGCCCCAGTGGGCCTAGGCCTACCTCCATGAACTTCTCCGTTCACTTCAGTTTTTCTAGATCTTACACAATCGGTAGGACTCCTTGGGCGGGTGATCAGCTCGTCTCAAGGCCTCTACCTGTACACAAACACAGAAAAATGCACACACACAAATTATACATCCATGCCCTGAGTTGGATTCGGACCCACGATCCCCGTTTCCAAGCGAGCGAATACAGTACATGCCTTAGACCGTTCGGCTACCGTGACCGGAGCTATTTCACATATAACAACAATTTCTCAACACCATTTTCTACTAATGCAATTGATTCACGCATGCTGCCGTATGCATACTTCGAGGTCTATGCCTATTTGTATACGAAGTCAACATACTCGTATATCATTCAATAAACCCTTAATACAAGCATGTGCAATGACGTTTGTCTGCGACATGACTCTATCACCCTGAAAAGTATTGACTGAAACAAAAGGAAGCCATGGAAATGCACAATTCCATTACAAATACTTCACTCTATTGGCACGTATAGGGCTGTCTCAAAGTGCTCTGAAACAAATGTTTCGATCTCAAGTGACTTCGGCACCTTCCATCTACAGCCACCCAATTTTACTAAATTCAGTAATATTTTCTGAATGTGAAATCGTATTGGTTGTCCCACAGATCTGTCATCATCTGACTTTAAAATTAACTTAACAAGTACTCGAAGACCTTAAGTAAGTGGTAGGTATCTGGAGAGTGTCTGGAGAGTGTTTTAAAACACGCACAGAAACCTAAATTGTAAAGTTCACATAAAATTGAACGTTCGAAGATTCAGTTTTAAATAGTATGTAGAGTAAAGTACCTAAGTAAGTAAATGTAAAATTGTTCCAGTGCTTACCTAATTAAGCATTACGCCGTGAAGATATATAGATCCATATTTTTTTACTTCGGCACTAGTTGGAGGTGAGTGGTCAGCTTCACCTCTCGGCCGCTTTACCTCCGTGGAAAGTGCGCCCGGTACCGATTGTATAGGAGGTTGGGTGGACCCCAGAACAGGCCTGAACGATGAGAAGAGAAAATTCTTGACCTTACCGGTACTCGAACTCCGACCCATTGGTCGTCCAAGGAGTAGCTAGTCGCTATACCGACTACGCTATGTCGGCTCCCGTAACACAGTAAATTAAACACTGCAAAATTATTTATTTCTTACTGCAATTAATTTCAATTGGTATACAAATCCTGGTGGAAGTGCTCACTATTAACATGAACAGAAGAGTAATGTTAATATGCTAGGATTAGTCAGTTGAAATTCCTAAATACGGACAAGGAGTTTGGGCAGTCCCGTATGTTAATAATTGGGATAATATATGTTGGCATCATGTTGAATCATTGTAACTAATATGGAGTTTTTCCTAAGCTATCATGGGTTAGGTCCTTTGACATGTCCTGATTCACAATTCAATCCGAATTATGACACTTTTACACATTTCTACTCCTTAGATTAGGAAGCGGCCCCCCTCAAGGAGCCCCTGCGCAATATAACCAAAGAGAACACAAGAGACAACTTATAATTATGTCCAGAGTGGGATTCGAACATGTGACCTTTTTTTTTTATTGCTAGTGGGGTGGGTCTAAGTCCCTTGTACTGCGGCCACTTCTGGCCTATTGTACCACAAATGATAGGTGAGGGTGACTCTGGAGCAATTGGTGGAACGAAGATTGGCAAGGGAAACTGAAGTACTCGGAGAAAACAATAAATCCCACTTGACCAGACCCGGGATCGAACCCGGGCCGCCGCGGTGGGAAGCCAGCGACTAGCCGCTTGAACTATGGCTCGGCCTTAACGTGTGATCTAAGTGCTTAAGTACCAAAGAACTTACAACTGAGAGTTAAGGAATAAAATTGTTTCTCCTCTGCCAGAATATCTGGCGTTGTGTAACATGCTTCAAAGCCGACTGAAAAATCATAATAATGAATTTTTTACAGCTGGAAACTATACGATTAGAGGTTCTTACTTGCTTTAATTTTAACGTCTTAAAATACTGTATGGCTGCTCACATGGCAGGTCATGATACAATTGTAAGAACAATTTTGGAACTTTTTTAATTACTTTGAATCTGTGGTCATCAACTGCCCACTAAACGTA